GGTTATTCGGGTTTTCTCCCGCGTAAGATTGGCAGTATCTAGGCAACATTTCGATGAAGTCTCATTCATCATCTTCAGGCTTGTGTCTTCGGCTCTGTGCTTCGCTGAAGACACAAGCCTGAAGATGATGAATGAGACTTCATCGAAACGTTGCCTAGATACTGCCAATCTTACGAGGGAGAAAACCCGAATAACCAAAGATCCACATACAAATACCCGCGAGAACCTCAGAAAACAAATATCTATCTATCTATCTATCTATCTATCTATCTATCTATCTATCTATCTATCTATCTATCTATGTTTTCTTATGTTTTTGCAGGTATATATATGTATTTAGGTTTCTTTGGTTATTTTCTCACGTCTTAATATTTGTGCTTTTATTATAGCGATGTTTCGGCAGAATCTCATCTGCCATCCTTGTGTATTAGTTTCTTTTTAATCTTATGTGTCAGGCTTGGCAGCTGTTTTTTGTTTGAATTTGGTGCTGGCTTTCTGCTTTATTTGAATGGTTTTTTCCTCATTCTGATTGGTTGGGAGACTAGGTCTGTTTTTATTGGTCTTCGAGTTGCTGTGTTCTTGATTGGTTGGCAACATTGTGTTTTGTGCATTGGGGTTTCTTAGTACAGCTTGGTTTCTTGTGAATGGCTGATAATTATTTATTAGGAAGCTAGGTTTTATTTGCGTGTTTGGGCTGGAGGTATTAGTGAGGGTCTGTTTGTGTACAGGTGCTTGCCTGGATTGTGGTACCTCCAGCCCAAATACGCCCCAGCCAGCTACCCAAATAAAACCTGGCTTCCAGACAAACACTATAAAGAAGCCTGATGATGGCAGATGAGATTCTGCTGAAACATTGCTACAACTTTAAAAGCACAACTATAATGACGTGGGAAAATACCTGAACAAAGCTGAATACCATACATATAAATACCCGTGAAAACTTCACACACACACACACACACACATATGCATGACTTCAACTCCTCTTTTAGCACAGAAAATTTGAGTATATAACAATTATTTAAGGAACTATACTTTTAAATTGTAATCAGTAATTTTATAAAATATGGAATAATTAGGAAAAGATAGATAGGCTATGAATAAGGGAACAAATAAAAAAAATAGTGATATTAAAACTTAGGGATTGTAGTTATCTAATAATCAGTCACTTTTCCATTTGGCTTTTAGAAAAATATAGTTTATTTTAAAAAGAGTAGACTAAATATGAGAGATGAGAACTTTTTCTTCGAAGACCTTTCTGGAGGTAGATGCATTGTACTGTACCACGGTAATTAAAGACAAATCAGCATTCAAAATAAAGACTCTACAAATATTTACAACCAAAAAAGGAAGGAAGGAAGGAAGGAAGGAAGGAAGGAAGGAAGGAAGGAAGGAAGGAAGGAAGGAAGGAAGGAAGGAAGGAAGGAAGAACCATAAGAAAATAAAAACAGAACTAGGTGTGATGTGTATCAGTGCTTTTTAGAACTGCAGTACAGAAAAAAGTGTTATATTCATTACCTCCACCACAGGATACAGAACAAGGAAAAAAATCAGTTTCTCTCCATCGGTGGATAATAGGTTGATAGAAAATAAACTGAACTGTACTGTCAGCAACACCAACATAATGAATCTGAAAAGAAGAAAAGCTACAGGTAAAATTAGTCTGTAATCCAGGTATAATTAGAACAATGAATTTACATTGTAATAAGTGAAAGTCCTCCACCATTATCTTCAGATAAGCAACTTCCGTATCCAGAAGCATAAATTCAACACTTGTGCAAAGGGGCTCGCTCCCAAATAGAGAAATGACAATTAAATATTTAAATAGATAAAAGGTGTAATACTTGCCATTAAACCTATGGACACGTTAATCATTTTAGCCCTGTCATCTACTGTATCTTGCAGGGTGGGTCCTAGATTATCATAAGTAATAGTTTTTATGATGATTGGTAAGTTACCCTTTCTATTTTGGGAGGGAGGGCATAAGATCATTAGCGTTGGTGGCGCAGTGGTTAGAGTACAGTACTGCAGGCTACTTCTGCTGATTGCTGGCTGCCTGCAATTTGGCAGTTCGAATCTCACCAGGCTCAAGGTTGACTCAGCCTTCCATCCTTCCGAGGTGGGTAAAATGAGGGCTCAGATTGTTGGAGGCAATATGCTGACTCTGTAAACCTCTTAGAGAAGGCTGTAAAGCAGTGTGAAGTGGTATATAAGTTTAAGTGCTATTAGTGCTATTAGTTCAGAACAATATTATCTCTTAAAATAGGGTGATTATTCTAGATAAATAATTAAGCAAATAAAAACACCTGAATTATCAGCTTCCTAATGCTGAAAATTAATGCTTTTCTAAAAGCTGTCGGAGATTTTTTTCGCAAACTGCACTCAAAGAAAGCCGTCAAAGCCAAAAATCAAAGATGTGGATCATAGATTGTTGAAATGTTTCCGGATACGGCTGGAAAAAGGCTTTCACGAAAGATTTACTTACAGTTACGTGAGAAACTTCTGCTGGTCAATGCAGACAAATATTAATAAACTGACGTATGTGCATTGGAAACAAGAGGCCTAAGATATCCAACCAATGTGGGTTTTGCCCTTCAATGGATTTGGGAAAAGCTGGCATAGATAATATCGAGTGTACATGATTGTATCTGTATAAAGCAAGTTCCCATGCTTATTTCCTTGGTTCAAAAACCATTCTATTGTTCAAATAAACAAAGAAATAAACCAGAAAAAAGGAAACTATCAGAGAAGAAATAGCATTATTTTCCCCCCTGAAACAGAAGAGAAACACAATGACAAAACTCAGAATCCCTAGGTTGCAAAAAAGAAAAGGAAAAGCAAGAGGTCATAAAAGAGGAAGGCAGAAGTGCTTGAGACATGTTGAAGGATATAAAAGTTTTAGTCTATTGATGAGAGCCTGCAGCTTTCTTTTAATCAAGTTAATAGTGATATATATTCCCAGAAGGAAAAAAGGGAGCTACAGCTGAAAGAAGACATGTTTCCTATGCAGTGAAGGAGGAGGCTTCTTGTATGGATAAGTACCATTTTGCTCAGCAAAAGTTTTTTATTTCCTTGCACATGACAGAAAGTCATGAATCACCCATGGATTTGAAATGACAGAAAAGTACAGTGAATCCAGGAAAGATGTACATCCTCTCCAATGCTTTTAGCTCTTCTGAAATTTCCAGTATAAATATAGATTAAGAACAGCATTGGAGGGGGAAAATGCTAACTAAACAAAAAAGGAAAAGGAAAAAAAGAAATACTATCAATAGCGTTGCCTGAACCTTAAAAAAAAAATCATGTTTCTGAGATCCCAGGCACAGCAAAATAAATGAGAAGAGAGACTCCATGGGGCCTAGGAGAAGGGGTTGGGAAGTTCCACCTCAAAAGTCAGGAAGACATAACAACTGATCTCCCCAAGGATTTTTGTTGTGTTGTCTGCTTGATTATCTGTCTTCCCTGACAAGGAAAAAAGACAGATGCAGATCTTTCTCCCAAACAAAACTGGGAAATTATACACATAGCCCGTACTACCAACCCCAACACTCTTGGGTGGGAATGTGTTGCAATTAACCACAGTCTGGTGGGGGTGGAATAGCATTGCTAGGCGAATGAGGGGAAAGGAATCAGACAAACTGATGTTTATTGTTTTAAAAAAGACGCATGGGATGGAATATAATGATTACAAAACTGACAAAACTTTGGTGAGAAAGTATTTTTGCAGTTGGCAGTGTAGGTGGAAGGGTGGAATATCAGATATTGACCAACTGATTCTAAATCTGATTGCTTACATTTCCTACTTACATCACACATTTTGGGCTCTTTTTGCTCTGACTTAGAAATTTAAACTATCCCAAAAGCTAAAGCAAGAATAAGAGCGAATAATACCGGTATTAGTTATGAATTGTTACCTGAAGTTTTTTATTAAATAATGTGCATGAGTTCCCTTTCATTGACTGAGTATAAAAACTTCACCACGATATATAAATCCTAAAAACCCTGAAGCAATTGATGTCTTCTTTGTTTCTAAATAATTTATCTTATTTTGGGGAATATTAAACACTGAAACGCATAGGCCTTACGTTCCTTTTGAATTAATAGCTGTAATATTTCATTAAATACCATACTGGTTTGTAAATAACTAACATTCCCATAGAAAATATTAAAATAGGTCCCTGAGAGACAGCAACTTGGGAAGTCACCTTCAATAAACTGACCCATAAATCAGGCAACATTTCCTAATTGAAGAATAAGTAGTCAATAGCCATCCAGATTTTTCAGATTATAAGAACAAGAGCTGAATTGTTCTTTCTCAATTCCACTGCATTCTATTCTATGACTGACATTGAACATCATGGAGGAAAAGCTGCAATCCTAAAGATTCCTCAGGACGTCTGCTGAGGGTTTGAGAAACAAGCTGCAGCACCTAGGAAAGATAGAAATGACTACAAAACACCTTCTTCAAGGCCTAATCCTGCCACAGATGATCCAAAAAGGCATCATGGTTAATATACCACCAAACATTGGAGAAATAATATTTAGGAAAATTATCAGAAATGCTCTCTCTCTCTCTCTCTCTCTTCCAACTTAAGTCATTTCACCAAGCAACCGAAACAGGTCGAGTAGTATATCTCGTATGGAAGACCAAATTGAAATGGATGACAATAAAAAGTAACATCCAGATTCAACTGAAACTATCTGGATTTATAAAATCCATAAAATTCAACCTAGCATAGCAAGATAAATAGAATGTGTGATGTTGTGGTCCTTCTGCTAAAGGAAGACCTCAAGGAACTACAAAATTTTCATCTGCACTTTATCTCCCACATCTCAATCCATATCTTCTGTAGAAAATCTGGCAAAATCTTCTGAACAATGAAGTTGGTATTAGAGATGAAAGGGGAAGGGCCAGGACCAGCTCCTTGCCAAAACTATGGTCACAAGCCACGGTCATCCCCATCTTCAAAAAGGGAGACCCCAGCCTAGTTGAAAAATTACAGACCAATCTCTTTATGCTGCATCACCTGTAAAGTCATGGAATCAATTATTAACCAATCCATCATCCTCCACTTAGAAACAAATAACCTACTCTCTAATAAACAATTTGGTTTCAGGAAAAAACTATCATGTAATCTGCAACTCTTACACTGCAAAAACATATAGACTACACAACTCTATCAGGGCAAAGCAATACATGCAATCTACATAGACTTCCGCAAAGCCTTTGATTCAGTGGTACATGACAAACTACTCCTAAAACTAAAATCATATGGTATCTCTGGACAATTACATAACTGGATAGAAGCATTTCTGTCAAACAGACAACAAATGGTCAATATTGGGAGTGTCCTATCAAATTCTGTACCTGTCAACAGTGGTGTCCCCCAAGGCAGTGTTCTAGGACCAACTCTTCTCATACTCTACATAAATGACCTCTGTGATCATATCAAGAGCAACTGCATTCTCTTCGCTGATGATGTAAAGCTATTCAACACCACAGACAATACTTCTACCCTTCAAAAAGACCTTGACTATGTATCAGAATGGTCAAACAAATGGCAACTTCAAATCTCAACAAATAAATGCTCTGTCCTACATATTGGCAAAAAAAAATCAGAAAATAAAATACAGGCTGAATAGTCAAGACCTTGTTGATGATCCAAATTCTGTCAAGGATCTTGAAATACTCATCTCTAATGATCTAAGTGCTAGAGCCCACTGTAACTACATAGCCAAAAAGGCGTTAGGAGTTGTTAACCTAATCTTACATAGCTTTTTCTCTGGTAATATTACACTAATAACTAGAGCACACAAAACATTTGCTAAACCAATACTCGAATACAGCTCATCAGTCTGGAACCCACATTACGTATCTGATATTAACACAGTTGAGAAAGTCCAGAAATATTTCACGAGAAGAGTTCTCCACTCCTCTACTTGTTGTAGAATACCTTATGCCACCAGACTTGAAATTCTAGACCTAGAAAACCTAGAACTACGCCGCCTTTGGTCCGATCTAAGTATAGTATATAAAATCATACACTGCAGTGTCCTACCTGTGAATGAATACTTCAGCTTCAACCATAATAACACAAGAGCAAACAATAGATACAAACTCAAGGTTAATCGCACCAAACTTGATTGCAGGAAATACGATTTCAGCAACAGAGCGGTCAATGTCTGGAATACTCTACCTGACTCTGTGGTTTTTTCCCCAAACCCCAAAAACTTTAACCTTGCACTATCTACTATTGACCTCACCCCTTTCCTAAGAGGTCTGTAGGGGGCGTGCATAAGTGCATCAATGTGCCTACCGTCCCTGTCCTATTGTTTCTTTTATTTTTTATTTTTCTTATATGTATCCATGTATTCATAATTATGTTTTACTTATACCTATTATCTTGTAAGCAATTGACAAAAATAAATAAATAAAATAAATAAGGGAACAACCCAAAATTACCCATACCCCTTTTACTTGAAAATATTCACAGAGAGAAAAAAAATAGGCCATCACTCAAGGGCACTGAGTACTTCATAAACACTGTAATATTTATCCATTTTATTCCTGATTTGCAAATACCAACTAACTAATTAACTACCTATCCAGTCACTGATTAACTACCTAGCCAATCAATCTAATTTCCCAAAAGACAAGGTTGTAATAAGCTATTTGTATAATTACACATACTCATTCACTTTGCTTCACACAGGTAGGCCAAAACTAGCTGAAGAGTGGGATGGACTGAAATCTTTTCCTCAACTCATGACTTGCAGGTGAAGAGGATTTCCTGCCTCGGCTTCACCTTATGATGGGATAAAAACTTCTACTTGCTTCACTACTGTCTACTGCCAACAACGTTAGAGTCAAACGGGAAGACAGACACTCCAATGGTCCTAGTCCTGGTGTCTAAACCAGGGGTGTCAAACTCGTGATGACATGTTACATCACGTGATATATTGCAACTTTTTTTTCCCTTTGCTAAACCTGGCATGGGCAGTGCATGATGCATCCAGCCTGTGAGCCATGAGGTTGACACCCCTGGCCTAAATCGTGTAGCAATGAAACTGGCACTATCCCCTTTGCAGCATAATCTACATTTCTATCTGTTAACGATCATGGCATCAAACCATTTTTGTTTGGGAGTTCTCAGTGAAAAATTATGGTACCCTAAACGTGATACAGATTGTACGCCTTATATCTTAAAATCTCCAGGCCCTTCTGACCCCATTTCATCTGCTCCAAAATGTTTTATTATCTTGTAATTCTCAAAGGCTTACATTCCACTGTGCCTCTTACCTCTCTGTAGCATGTGTGTATTTTACTTTCAGCAATGTGTTTTCAATTACTTGGAAGAATAGGAGAAAATTAATGAGAAGAAAACATTAGTGGGAAGAAATAATTTCATTCTCACTGCCAGTTCTACACAGAGCTTCTAAGCTATCTGTTGATTTCTCAACCAAAGCTCCCTTGCTCATTGTAACAAACAGCAGAGCTTAATTCTGCTCGTTTCTTTAACAATTCAAGAGGTTTTCCTGAGTTATTCTCCTGTAGTAGTTCTGAAATGGGGGGGAAGGCAAAGGGAAGAAGACTAATATAATGTGAAGATTTAATTGCAACATAGCCACTTATGGACTATGTTACTTGCAATAATTCAAGAAGTACTGCAGTTCCCATATACAGGTAGTCCTCGACTTACAACTATTCATTTAGCGATCATTTAAAGTTACAGCAGTACTGCAAAAAGTGACTTATGACCCATTTTTCACACTTCATGACTGTTGCAGCATCTCCATGGTTACATGATCGAAATTCAGACGCTTGGCAACCGGCTCATATTTATGACGGTTGCAGCGTCCCTGAGTCATGGATCCCCTTTTGCGACCTTATCACAAGCAAAGTCCATGGGGAAGCCAGTTTCACTTAATAACTGTGCTACTAATTTAACAACAGCAGTAATTCTCTTAACTGTGGCAAGAAAGGTCACAAAAGGGGGCAAAACTCACTTAACAAATGTCTCACCATGTCATGTCCCTGTCAGAATCTGATTCAGAGAGGGAGGTCTAGTAGCTGACAGGGAGTGGGAGTATGGCTCCATTGGTTGTGGAAGAAACGGAGGAAGGGCAAAGTCCGGCTGTCCAGAGCAGGAGAGAGGTAGAGCAAGGAAGAGTTGGTTCAGAGGAAGATCCAGGCCCACCCACTCTTTATCCAAGGGCACGCAGGGAGGAATGGAAAAGGGAGCAACATGAGTTGCATGGCTTACGGGGGAGGAAAGGGCCCTGATTCCCTTCATTAGCTGCAGCTGGGAACACAGTGTATAAAAAAGGCAAGCTGCATACAGCAAGCTGTTGGGAGCAAATTGTGAATTATCTGGTATCGTCAAGGCTTATCTGGGTTCCTGGCATCTTCCGAACTGTGTGTGTTTTGCTGGCCTTTCAAGTCTGCAATTCCTTCTCCTGCCCTGTCAAGTTAATTACCATAGCATTGTTTGTGTGGATTTTTATTTACAGTTTGTATGTACTTTGTATGTACTTTGAATTTCCTCCGCTTAAAGACTGTTCTTGGGAGAGTTTTTTTCTCCAGCTGAAGGTAACCTGAACAGTGGGGGCAAAGCTGGAAGTACTAAAGGGACACTTCTTGCTTATTTGACTGTGTTGCCTTTGTGCCACACCACAACAGAAATTTGGGGCTTAATTCTAGTTGTATGTCGAGGACTACCTGTAATAGTAAGTGTCTGGCACCTTGGAATAGCACATTTTACTTATAGGAGAAACATAGTTTTGAATGTTATAGCAAAGTGAAGACAATGTCATAAGCCTACTTACTACTAAGCAGGTATAAATATTGCAAAATATTATTGTTTGTCAGTTGTTCAAAGCTTCTCACCTTTACAGTGAAATCTGCAGTGAGAGGACCAGGTATCCTCAATATCTCTTTGTCTGCAAACTTCTGAAACTCAACAGAAGAATTATCCACAATGAAGGATCCAGTGAAGCCGAGACTGTTTTCGCCCTTCACACCTTGCAGTGTTTTGGTTTCTAGATCTGACAAATACAAGCACATGGAAGAGTCACACACCATTGTTTCCTTGGCATAAAGAAATAGAGCTGTCAAGCAAAATGCTAGATATAAAGCATTATTTGTTTTCATTTGATTGTGTTATTAATGCTCCATCCATTTTATTTATACCATCCCCTCTGGGTTTCACTTTGCTTCCCTCTAACCTACTTATCTATTGTACTGTGTAAGACAGATCTATTTCCATTAGAGCTAGCATTTGTATTGAAGTGTCAATTTCTCTGGACTTAGCCATGCAGAAGAGAGAATGGTAGCTCCAAACTCAATACAGCAGGGGTGTCAAACTCAAGGCCCAAGGGGTGGATCTGGCCTGCGGGGTGCTTAGATCTGGCCTGCAGGCCTCCCTGGAAACAGAGAAGGACTGGCCTGTGGCACCTCTGCCAGCAAAAATGGAGCTAGGGAGGGCCATGTGTGGCTTCCCCAAGTTCCGTTTTCGGCTGCGATGGCCTCTTGCCACCTGTATCGAGCTTGTTTTTTGCTGGCAGAGTGTTCGGGCCACCACAGGTGCCTCCAACATGAGTGACGTCGAGCTGGCCACGCCCACCCTGGCCACGCCCGCCTGGCCATCTGAGGTCAAACACAACCCTGATGTGGCCCTCAATGAAATCGAGTGTGACACCCCTGCAATACAGGATAGACATACACTGTATTTTCATTCATTCCTGTCATCCACAGTGGTTCAAATGTCATTTCCCATTTTACAAAAAGCACTTACAATATCAGTTAATCGAAAGATGATACTTAATGGGTACTTGAGCATCATCCTTTCCTTGACTTGAGATTGAATTGCTACGCTACCCAGTTTTGAGAGACTGAAAATACATGGGTTAAGAGGAGAATATTGCAAAGGGCAGTGGCTGTTTTGGATAGAGCACACACACACACATACAATTTTTGAATTCAGAAGAAGTCATCTTTGGCTGATGACCACAATTGAGCCCAAGATTTCTGTTGTTAAATGAGGCATTTGTTAAGTGAGTTTTGCCCCCTTTTCCACCCTTTCTTGCCACACTTGTTAAGTGAATCACTTCTGTTGTTGATTTAGTAACATGGTTGTTAAGTGAATCTGGCTTCCGTATCGACACTGCTTGTCAGAAAGTCTCAAAAGGAGATCACACAACCCCAGGGTACTGTAACCTTGACTCTGCTGGTGTGTCTCTCACATACACACTCCTGGAAAAATGTGGCCTCTCTGGACTCTCCAGACCAGGGGTCGCCAACCTTTTGGACCTCAGGGACCACCAAACTCATAATTTTAAATCCCACGGACCACTAATATGAATTTGACTGACAGTGGCTTGGCGATGTTGGTGGGAAAGTCAGTCCCAAATTCCAGAGCTGCAGTAGTCACAAGATTGGCCCCTTTGGTCATCCCGGAGCAGCTGCTCCTCCAGTACATGGCAGGCCGGTGCACCCGGGTGGAGCAGCTGCTCTGGGATGACCAAAGGGCCAGTCCTGTGACTACTGCAGCTCTGGAATATGGGACCGACTTTCCCACCAACATCAACAAGCCACCCTGGGGTGGACTTCCCTCCCCCACCGTTAGTCTTACCTTCCAGTTCCACTTCACGTGGCTCTTCTCAAGGTAAGGTTTGCGCTCAGCCGAAGGATGGGAGCTAGCGGGTGGGCGGGCCATGTGGGCAGCACAGCCTTGTGTTCCCACACAGCCTGGATTAATTGCTTTGGGGGGGGAGTGCTTTGGGGGGAACATTGTTCTGCAGACCACCAAAATTTTCTCATGGACCACCAGTGGTTCCTGGCCCACCAGTGGTCCCTGGCCCACCAATTGGCAACCACTGCTCCAGGCTCTCTGGAAATTGCACAAGAGAGCTCTGCATTTACAGGGCCTCATAAAATCATGAGAAAATGCTCGCACAATTTTCAGACACCTCAGGGGCTGCACGAGAGCAATGTTTTCTTATGCAACTTCCAAAGGATCCATCACCATCACTGCTCTAGGCTTTTTAGTTTTATTTTGGAAGTTTACATGTTCAAACTTTATCCATGATCAGTATAATAAGTATCCATTGCTTACTACAGGGGCATATTCCCCCCCCCCGCCCCAAGCATTTAGCAAGATCACAATCTCTGTGACATGTATTCTGCCTGCTTCTAAGACTACGCTCATTGCTATATATACTTTCCAAACACATTTTGCACTAATTTACCCAACTTGATGCCTTAAATATGGTTAATTTTGCCTTTGTACTCCATTTTAATTGTGCACACTATCTCTTTTCTTCTTGCAAAAGCCTACTGGCATATGTAATGCATGCTTTAATGTATTTTATTGTTTCCTTTAATACATTTGCTCTTTCACTTATCTCATCACTACTGCCAACCTATTTAGGGGAACGTAAAATGAATAGGGGAGAATTATTATCGAAACGGGGAGCCAGTTTGGTGTAGGGGTTAAGCATCAGGCTAGAAATAGAGACTGTGAGTTTTACTTCTGCTTTGGGCTTGTAGCCAGCTGGGTCACCTTGGGCCAGGCACTTTCTTTCAGCCTTGGGAAGGAGGCAATGGCAAACTACATCTGAAAAACTTTTCCAAGGAAACTGCCAGGACTTGTCCAGGCAGTGTCTGAGAACCAGACATGATTGAATGGAAGAAAAAAAATCTACACATGTACAGAACCTTTGATAAGTCAATTAATGTTATATTTGCTATTCCAACTACAGTTTCAATGGGTTAATAGCAATAGTAATGGCAGTTAGACATATACTGCTTCACAGTGCTTTACAGCCCTCGCTAAGCAGTTTACAGAGTTAGTATATTGCCCCCAACAATCTGGGTCCTCATTTTACCTCATTTTATCTAAGGATAGAAAGCTGAGTCAACTTTGAGCCTGGTGAGATTCAAACTGCCAAATTGCAGGCAGCCGGCGGTTTTCAGAAGTAGCCTGCAGTACTGCATTCTAACTACTACGCCACCACAGTTTTAAACTGGTTCTCTGTTTAAAGACTTATTGTAATTTAATTTCTACCCTCCAATACTGAGCTTATCCTTCAGGGCAACGGTTTCCAACCCTAGGTCTGTGGATTTGCACTGGTCTGCGGATTGCCAGAAACCAGGCCCCATCTACGGGACGCAGGAAGCATACAAAACCACATACTCCCTGGTGCACGGAAAAACCTCTCTCCATGTCTCTGATCCTCAAAAGATTGGGGGCTTTTGCTTCAGAGTCTTTCTAAGCCTTGTAATTAATCTAATAGTAGTCCAGACGGTGGCAGCTGTACTATTATAATTCTACATAGAAACTTATGCATCATGATACAACTACATCACACTCTAATTCTGCCCCCTCTTACTCAATGACTAAATACAGGGATAAAAGTAACAGACCATATCAGGACAAAAATCCTGCCCTAATCCAGTGGAAAATACTTGCTCCCTCTTTTTGTATTTCTAGACACTGGTTTCTGTAAAAGCGTTTCTCTCCCGCCCTCCTTAATTCCATTGGCAGCAGAGAACCAAAATGATAATGTTTACTAGTCTAAAAAACAGCATGCATGGCAAATAAGAGCCACAGGAGTAGAGGCCAAGCATTCGCAAAATAATATTTATTTCTTAGTATTCTATCTTGTAGGCAAATATTACATATTTTCCCCTCTTTCAAAGTTTATAACTTGCAATCTACTGATAAATGTTCACAATTATACATTTTACACCCAAAACCAAATTGTATATACCTAAGGTAGCTTATCAAGAGCACATAGAATATAATCCAACATAAAATGTCCTTAATTATGACAACATGAAACTTCTTTTCCCTTTCATAGTTTTACTATTACTTATCTTACAGCTGACAACCAGCTGCAAGTATTTACTGTCTCTATAGGACTGGGTAGTCCTTTTAGTTCTGAAAGACACATCCTAATCTAAAATATGCTATATGTTGTATGGTTTCTGTACAAGAGTGTACAATAGCTTCAGCAGAATTGGAGAAGAAGGTCAATTTAACTCTTCAGCTGAAAAAGAGACATAGGAATATACATGCTGGATATACATGCCATTCAGAATTCTATGCATAAATTGAGAGCAGCATATATACAGTATGTATTGAAGCCAAGCAAGATTAGGAATCAAACGTGGCAACTTGGAAAAAGATATGTTGCATACAACATTTTATCTGTACAGGCAGCATAAAGGAAAGCTATTCTTGTTTTTTCTTTTGTTATTAGACACTATATCTATAAAGTGTTTTTTTGTTTTTTTTAGGATAGAATTGGCATGATTATATGATTTGTTATAGAATAAATTACTTAAATTATAGTTATCTCATAAAGTATGAGTGAATAAAAGTATAGTCAAATGACTTTTTTTAACAATGATATGAGGATATATAAGTTAGGATTGAAAATAAGAGTTATTATGTAACATAACCGTAATTGAGACTATGAAATGGATGCACAAAACTGATGAACCAACCGACACACTGTTTGTATATAGTATGGAAGAGAGCTGATGCTTTTATGTTTTGTCTGTTTTTGTCTGTTTGTTAAAAAAACCAATAAAACTGTTTTCAAAAAAAAAAAGGAAAGCTAAAAAGCAATATTGCTTAGAATATCATGAAAAGCTTTTTCTGCTCTTTTCTATCATTATACATTCCAAGTAAGGAATCAGTATATTTTTACCACACGCCTCCATTGTGGGAGGAAATGAACTTCAAATGCCAACAAAAACTTAGATTTATTCACAATTTTTGCTTTACATTTAGATTTTTACTGGTCTTTCAATCAATGGCTACTGTAAATACATGCCCTATCATAACTCTGTCAAACACATTCTAATTCAGTAAACTGAAGACCTATAAAGCTCCCAACCTTTTTCCTTCCATATTTTTATTTTCTATGGGTAACTCCTTTAATAGCACAATCTGGCTGTTGATTCCTTTACTCTTTGCTCCATGAAACAAAGGTAAGCGTAAGAACAATGTGTTAAATTCATGAGTAATTCATCTCAATACTGTATATTCGTATCAACAAAAAACACATTTTACAGAAATTATGTACGTGCACATGCATAACTTATTGAGTGGAAAATCAGATAGTGGTTTTAGAACACACCCATATAAGTCAGGATTACCTTAGTTGGTATTATTACATTATTATTATTATTATTATTATTATTATTATTATTATTATTATTAT